AAAACCTTAAATTAGACTGAATAAATGAAGACTCGGCACACCACTTCTGAAAGGTTGCTTAAGTCTTCTAGCTGCCTCTGTCTCTGCTGATCTATCTAATATGGGAAGTGGTCAGGTACTACAGGCACGAATAGAAAGCCCTAAGAAAGAAAGAAAACTGATAAGGGAATCTAATTTAAAAGGGAAAAGTTAGTAGAATAAAAGACAGAATTAAAGAAAATGTAATAGGACTGGTGTGAGTTTTTTTTATTAGATATTAATTAATAAAAAGTATGAAAGTTTGTATGTAGAGAGGAACAGGCACAGACTGGGGGATTTTAACCCCTGTTTAGTAAAGACTATTTCTGTTACTTTTATATAATCTTGATTTTTATTTTTATTTTTAAGTTGGAAAGCAATGTCTCTGAAATATCAGTCCCTTGTTTTCTGAGTTTGCGGGGTAAGAGGTTTTTCTGTGGGAATATATCCAAACATCCATCTAAAGGAATGGAAAGATTTGCAGAACATCAGGATAACAGGTGCTCCATGTGCACTATCAAAACTGTCCGTGGGGAATAGTCCCCAACTCCGCTAATAGAGACTGGAGAGCTCAGTCTGAATATTCATTTATTTGTAGGAATGCTTTAGTGTAAACACTTACATCCTGGTCCTGCAGTTAGCTGTCACCGTGCTCAGGGGTCTGCTCGTTTGGGACAGTTGTAGGATTGGGGGGTAACATATAAATATTAAACATGAGATGTTTTGTTCTAGCTTACCAGCCTGATTCAGAGGAAGGAGACAGTGTGATCTAGTGGAGAAAGCACTAGACGGGGACTCAAGGGATCTGGTTACAATGGGAATTATTTCGTATATTTTAAGGCCAAAAGGGATAATTATAACAATTTCGTCTCCAGCTGATAATACCACTGAACAAGGGTATAATTTATGACACTGGATTAAGGAAATCCAATGATGGATCTTTATAACCAGATGGAAATCTGGGGTGTGTTAATCACTAGTTTAGCATCTGGAAGAATGTTATGAGGCAGATCCTCAGTTCTTTCTTTGGCCATGTCTATACTAGCGAGGTTACCGCACCACAGCTGTACTGATGCAGCTGTGCCGCTGTTAGATTGCTCATGTGGCCTCTCTATGCCGACGGGAGAGAGCGCTCCCTTCGACAGAATACAACCACCCCAATGAGCGGTGGTAGGTATGTTGGCGGGAGAAGCACATAGTGCTCTGCACACCACCACTTATGCCAGTGCAATGTACGTCACTCAGGGGGTGTTTTGCCAGCATACGTGGTAGTGTAGACATGGCCTTTGTAAAATTGTTGTTTTATCTGCCTGCACCTGCCGTTTGCATTTTATGTACCAGCACAGTAGATGTGGCTTTTCTTTCTCATGTGTGTTTCCTTTCTTGCTAGTTGGCTGTGGAGTCCCAACGAGGTTAAGCTTTGCTGAGCTGAGGAATGAGTATAAAAATCAGAATTACTTTTCCGTTGGGAATACTGCAAAATACACTTGTCGGCCTGGATATGGAAGAGACCCACAGCTACAACCCACTATTACATGCCTTGAAAACGGAAGGTGGTCAGAAGCACTCGAGTTCTGTAAAAGTGAATATTTTGTTTCAGTTAGAAAAAGGTCTTAAAGGCACAAGGTTGTGTCCATGCTGCAAAAATGTAACATATCTTTAAATAGTTAATAGTGACTAATAAAGCTCTCTAGCTATGTCTATTCTGGGCCCTTCTAAATGCCATCTTTTGGGGGACTGTTAAATATAGACAGATCTTGGGGATAATTATTGCATTGAAAGAGAGAAGCCTAAACCTACCCTTGTTCTCTACCAGAGAAATCATGTGGTCATCCCAGAGAGCCGGAGAATGGCAGAGTTATTGTAACAGATGTCCTGTTTGGGTCAACCGTCAACTTCACCTGTGAAGAAGGGTAAGTTTCCGACTGTCTGAGGTGACTACTTGTGCTTACCTTGCAACTGTGGAACACAAATGGATATCCTCGTATTCCCCCAACTCCTGAAAGCAGTTTACTCTTTCATACTAAAGCAGCACTCCAGCTTCTTGGCTCAGTCAATATCATTTTTTTTATGCAGTGAAAGATGGATTGGAATAAGTCTCCCTCTTTTCTTCATTCATGCTCTGCCATTTATTGTACAAACTATAGTTACAATTTGGCCAGCTGAATGCTCTGCCTGCAGGTGCTGGGTGAGCACCAACGTCTCCTGTGGAGAGTAGGATCCAAGTGACCAGGGAAAACCCTGGAATCTCTTGGATTTTACCCCTGCTTTGACATGGGAACAGTTGTTCTTCTGAATCGTTTGAAATGGCTGCCTTTCCTCAGGGCCATGCAGAGCAGGGGCTCCATGGCTAACTTCCCATCTATCTCCAAGGACAAACCCAGCTCGGAGAGCCGTCTGAGTTAGAGCTTTGGGGATATGATGGCAGAAGGGCTGTTGCCTGCCCCCTCCTTTTGGAAGATTAAGATTGTGCTTCAGTGGCCTGAAAAGCAGAGGGCTGCAGCTGCAGGACTGGCTGGAACATTTGTAGGGAGTGTCACGTCTGTATTGGAAAAGGAAGAATCTCTTCTTGCATAAAGTCCCATGTCACAGAAAAGAGCCATAGCAGCTGCTGGTGCTGAACTCTAGACCCAGTTCTGCATTGTTTTATTCAACAATATCTGTGCATATGGACCTGTGTGATGCGGTGGCTTATAGCACCTGCCTGGGTTACAACTGACATGATTGATTATCTCAAGCTAGCCAGACCCCTGCTGGATCTTCCTAGCCCACAAAAACCTATGCACTCCAATACGAAAATTATAAAACCAAAATGGAGCAGGCATAATACTAACCCCCCAGCAGCCTGCCCAAAAGTGCAGATGTTACTAGTTTGCCTGTGGTTTGTGATTCCATGGCAGGGAATGTCCCTGCTGATGTGGTGAGGAGGACTTGAGGGCACAGGAAGGACCTTTGGATCCCCTGGCTCAAAGAATGCCAGCTCTTTGGGCCTACATAGGACTGTGTTCCATGGTTTAATTCTACAAGGGGCTGGGGAGTTCTGAGTTGGCAAGGAGCCTTTTCTCCTATGATTATCACTCAGTAGTTGGTGGTGTTGGTCCCCACCTGCTGTGGCTGGGGAGAAGAGCTTCCCAAATAACTGAGCTACACAGGATAACTCAAACACCAAAGGACTAGATAACAACTGTAACCCCCTCTGCCTAACTCCAGGCACCGGTTGATTGGACAGCCTTACAGACGATGTGAGATTTCTGGCCCGCGTGTTGCATGGACTGGTGAAGTTCCCATTTGTGAGCGTAAGTAAATTACAAGTGTCAGTCCAGGTGCTTACGTGGGCACTTCTGTCTCTTCTCTGCTTGCGTCTTAAATGTTAGTAAACGAGTAGGGAAGCTTTATGATCCCCACTTTAGAGAGGGAGAACTGAGAAACCGAGAGATTAAGGGATGTATCCCGGGAGATATAGGGAGTTGGTCAATAACCAGGGCCGGCTCCAGGCACCAGCCGAGCAAGCTTGTGCTTGGGGGGGCAGATTCTAAGGGGCGGCATTCCATCCAATCCTGGGGTGGCACAGCTGCCCTTTTTTTTCTTTTGGTTCGCTGCTCTGGCCGCCCTGTAGGGGGCGGCGGCGCAGAGGAGAGGAGCGCCCTGCTGGGAGCGGGCTGTGCGCTCCGTCTGCCCCAGCCGGTGCCAGGACTGCAGCAAGCACGGCAGACCGCATCCGCCCCT